AGAGCACCTCGCTGTGCCCTGGAAAAGAGGAACCAGGCCAGCTGCCCTGGAAGCAGGGCTGCAAGCAGAATGGGTTCTAAAATTACGATGGGAAAGAGGAAGGACAAAGGGGAAGTGGAGAGGAGTGGGGCAGATGGCCGGGCGGCACCAGGCCACACACCCGGCGGCCCCGTGGCCAGCCGGGGGCAGAGGGCAGCCCCAGCACAGGCGTGGGTGTGGTCACCCTGTGCAATTGGGCCTAAACCGGCAGTCGAACATCCCTCTTGCAATCCGGGACATCTGGCTCCTAACCGCTCGCCTGCCTGCCTGTCAGATCACCCCTAACCCCTCTGCCTGCCTGATTGACTGATCGCCCCTAACCACTTCTGCCTACCTACCTGATCGCCCCTAACTGCTCCCCTGCTGACCTGATCACCCCTAACTGCTCCAGTGCCTGCCTGATGGCCCCTAACGGTCTCTGCCTCGGCCTCTGCCACTGCGGCTTTGTCCGGAAGGACATCCAGAAGGTCGTTTGGCTGTCCGGCCTAATTAGCATATTATGCTCTTATTAGTATAGATGATGATGATGATGATGATTAAAAACCTACCCTTGTGAGCCACACCAGTACCTGAAACAGGCTTGGAATCAGAAGTGGACCCTCTCAGCTCATGTCCTTCTCCCTGAACTCAGTGTCTTCAACTCTGAAATGGGAAGAAATCCCCACTTTTTAGCCAATAGGTGGAGGGTCAGAAGGTGCCTACATACCACCTTCCAGCTGTGTTGCCTGGAGCAGGTCACGTGACCCCTCTGAGCCTCAGGTGTCTTGTCTATACAGTGAGGTTAGAAATACCTTTCTTCTTCTAGAGTTGTCATGTGGATCAAATGAGATATGGGTGGGAAGAGCCTAGAGCACACAGGGCCTGGCACATAGTAGGTGCGCAACTAGCACCCTTTTCCTTCACCAGCGGCTTAGCTAGTTTATTGAGCCACACGACCCCAGGCCTGCTGCGGTGAGTGGGAAGGAGACGGGAGAGGATGATGCCCAGCGGAGCCCGGGAGGAAGCAGAGGCGCTCCTGCAGAGAGGAGAAGGAAGGTTATTCCGGGCACGTGGGACAGCATACGCAAAGGCCTATGGGAAAGAGCACATGAGAGCAAGTGAAGGGCGGCCAGGGAGGCCTCAAGTCCGGGGCAGGGGGCGGGGCACGGGGTGTGGTGAGGATGGGGGTTGGAGTCTTTATCCCCAGGACAAGAGGCTGCCATGGGAGGCTGGGTTGGAAGGGCAGATGGAGGCAGGGAGCCATGAGACAGGAACCGGTGGTCAGGTGGGGGGTGAGGGGGCTATGCAAACAGAAGAGATGGGTGGGGCTTGGTGAGAGAGGAGACAGGAGGTGAGGGAGGTGAGGGAGGTGAGGGTCCAGGTGCCTCCTGGGGTTGTGGCCGGTGTGTCTCAGGGACCATCCTACGCCCAGGGAGCTCAGGAAGAATTGAGGGGAAATTCTAGGACTTCCGTTTTGGTCCAAACGGCAAACTAGATGACGGCCAGTGCCCAGAGGGGTAGCAGGGTCTGAAACTCAGGGAGCAGTTGGAGCTGAGGGGCTGTGTGTGGCTCCTTGGCCCAAGAGAAGATGAGGGAAGTAAAGAGAGACAGTGGGAGAGGAGAAGGCAGCCTAGGCCTGGGTCACGGGAGCCCATGGCCCAGCCCTTGACCATCTACAGTGGGGATTGTGCATAGAAAAAACTAAACCTCAGCCAGGTCTCTCCCCAACCCCTTTGGCATCCAGGTGGCCTCCCCCAGCAGGTGTACCCTGGCCAGAAGCCCACCTCAAAACACAAGCCCCAGCCAACAGGAAAGCAGCAGGAAGTAAACACACAAAACAAAGAATCTGACCCTTCACCCCGCGGCCAACGAGCGGTGACTGGGTCTTTCCACGACAGCACTCAGCCCCCCTCCCGCTCCTGCAGCGCCGCCTCCCTGCCATGCCCTTGCTCCTGGCTCCACACAAACGGACGGCCCCTCACGCCTTCCATCCCCACGTGAATCCTGGGACACAGCCTTGGGTGTGTCTGCAAACCAGGGTCCTGATCCCAGCACTGCCACCTCTTGGCTGTGTGACCTAGGGCAAGTCACTTCGCCTCTCTGAGCCTGTGTCTTAAACTAAAAAAGAGCCACTTGACAGAGTCGTCAGGATGAAAGGACAAGTTATATGACGCCACCAGCATGGGTGGGTGTTTCTGAGCTTAAGGTGTAATGGAGCTCTTGCTTTGTGCCCTGGTGTCGGGGCCACCTCCCCTTCCCTCTGGAAACCAGGAACTCCAGGCCTACAGAGCTCAGAGTTGCAGGAACAGAAAGGAAAACTCCCGAGTGAGTCACTAGGGGGTGGATCTGTGTAGATTATGAACTGGGGACAAAGCCCCACTTCATGGCCACTGATTTAGGGTGCAGAGGATGGTGCCCATCCAGGCAGGATGTGGTCTCCAAGCTGACACCGCAGCTGCACCGTCAAGAGGCTCATTGCTCAAGCATCTACCAGGCCAGCACTCCCCCTGCATCTGGTGGGGAAATGTTGATCGGACCAGCAGGACCGTGGCCACATGCTCCGCCCACACATCCTTGACTGTAAAGAGGGTCCCGCCATCTGATGTGATGTCAGGCAGCGTTCTGTGTCGGAGGATCAAATCCTCTGGGAGCCCTTGGAGGCCAATGCGGCCGAGGCCCTGTGGGCAGGAAAGGCCACACACATCCAGAACATGTGTGAGTTCTGCTCAAGATAGATTGCTGGTCTGGGCAGAAGAGAAGGGATCCCGCGTGATCAACCAGCTGCCAAGTTGTTGGTTGGGTTTTTCAGGAAACAACGGGTCGCTCTTGCTGGCAAGTAGGGAAGTCAGCAGTGGTGGTAGCTCGGGAAGCCTGCTGAGTGGGTCTACCCAGAGTCCTTGCCCAGGCCACACGGCTACTTTATGCCATGTGTTACTGTACCAGCACTGGGCTGGCCAATCAGACTGGCTGATGTCAACTGTCCGAGTCTTGGTGGTTGAGTGCCTCTCCTGTGAAGGGTGCTTGCTGGGAAGCATAAATATGCTTTATGTCTTCCCACTCTGTGCCCACTCCCATCGGCCGTCGACTTGCCTCTTCCCCAGATCTCTCTGTTCGCAGCCTTCTAATCCTTCTTCTTCTTAGCCTCCAGCCAAAAAGTCAAGCTACTCTCTACTGCCCATGATTGCATGCATATTCTTTTTTTTTTTAATTTCAGAGAGGAAAGGAGAGGGAGAGAGAGATAGAAACATCAGGGATGAGAGAGAGAATCATTGATCGGCTGCCTCCTGCATGCTCTATACCGGGGATTGAGCCTGCAACCCAGGCATGTGCTCCTGACTGGAATCGAACCTGGGACCCTTCAGTCCGCAGGCCAATGCTCTATCCACTGAGCCAAACCAGCTAGGGCTCATGTATATTCTTACTTCCTGACACTTCTCTTTCCACATGAGGAGGTTGACCAGGTGCCCTGCCCAAAGTTCTGCCCATTGGGAGGACTTCTCGCCACTTTCTCCACAGCACCTTGGAGCAGGGCTCTAGTTCAATAGCTGTCCAGTTTTGACTTGTACCCAAACGCCGAGCCACTCATCCTGGAACCTAGCTCAGGCATTTTCCTCCTTTGTCAGAAGATCACCAGGGACCCGCCCGTGCAGCCATGGTGTGAGCTGAGGGGCACGCCTTGGTGCCACAGCAGAGGATGACATGGGGGTCTGGGCCACCGTCCATGGAGCTGGCTGGAGTCTTCTGTTTCTGCTCACGCTTGCTACTAGGTGAACCACTTACAATGAAGAGCTATTGGGCGTCTTGACTTTATGACTTGAAGGGTCAGACAGACCCATCTTGGCTACTTGGCCAAGGGAATCCTGACCATATACCACACTTGCCACAGTGTTGCAAGACCCTTCCCTCTGGGGACACAGCCTCTTCTGCAGTCAATAGATTTGGGGTCTGATAACTGGCTCAGGTCCAGAAATGAGGCAAGGGGTCTTGATTTTTTGTGCTGTCGCTGCCCTTTCGGAGGGACATATCCTTAAGCAAAGCAGCTCCATTTAGCTGAGGTAGTTTCCTGGAGAGGGACCCAGCATCGAGTGGTCAGCAGGCTACCCACCCCCTCCCCCCGATCCCCAGTAGCTGAGAGAATGGACACCTGGGTCCTGAAGAAGAGAGCTGCATGGCACAGCAGAGCACCCGCTATACACATGTTGGACCCTTACCATATGCCAGATACGTGCTGGGTGTTGAACAAAACTCAGCTCTTTCAATCCTGACAACCACCTCTAGGTAAGGGTTATGGTTCGTGACTCCCAGATCAGGACACTGCATTGGTTACGTTTCAGGACAGACTGCTGTTAATGAGACTCAGCATAACAGTGACAGAGACATTCCCAAAACTGATTTCTCTCTCAGTGAAAAGTCCGAGTGGGGAGCTGCTGGTGAGGGGAATATGATGACTCTTCTCCACACAGTTGCCCAGGGCCCTGTCTCCTTCTAGCTTGCCTTCCTGCCATCTCAATACCCAGCCTCCATCTCAAAGTCCAAGACGGCTACTCCTTCAATAGGAGAGAGAAGTAGGGGAATGGAGGACTTAATGTTCTCTGCATTCATTCAGGGGAAGTAGCATCTGTCCTCGTAAAACCTTTAAGAAATGGTTTTACATTTCCCAAAGCGAGGACTTGAAAGTCAGGAGGGGTTTGGACAGGCAGACAGGACAAGGCATGGGGTGGAGGGACTGCATAGGCAAAGGAGGGGGAGTAAGACAGAGAGTGAGACAACACAGGGCAGTGAGGAGCTGGCAGGCTGGACTGGCAGGCTGTGGTTGAGAACGGTGGGGAGGAGCCTGGCTGGAGAGGCCAGGGAGACTGTGCAGGACCAGATGAGGGCTTTTCCTTCAAGTGATGGGGAGTCCATGAGATTTTGACCAGGAGAGTGTTGTGGCTGGAACAGGAAGCACCACAGGGGAGTAGGAGCAAGCCAGCTGACCGGGGTGTGGGAATCATCCTAGCACCTTGCACAGAGTTCTGACCCACACACACTCATCTCCGTTAATTCATTTCCAGGTGACGTGGAAAAGGCTTTGTAGTTATCCCAGTCCACGGTCCGCCCTGGCTTAGCAATCATCCCTGTAGGACCTTAACCAGGTCAACTCACTGCTCTGAGCTTCAGTGTCCGGGACAGAAACTGTCAGATGTCCCCCAAAATCTAGTCTTCCCACCTCACATAGTAAGGCCCACCCTATTACAGGCTCATTTCCCAGCCTCCCTTGCAGCTATGTGTGACCATGTGATTACATCTGGCCAATAGGGTGTGAAGCAAAATGATACACCACTTCCTGGTTGTGCAAATAAATAAGTGAATAAATGAGAGACATGTGGTCCAGTAAAAGAATAAAGTTCCAGGGAGGAATGAATACCTTCCTTATTGGCTCTTTCTAGCTGCTGAGGTTGCAGCAATGAACAAAATAATGAGCGTAATGAATGCAATAGAAAAGATGCGCGTACACAAGATAATTTCAGGGCACCTGTACCGGGAGGGTAGTAGAAACAGAAAGCTGGGTAGGAGGGGAAGGCAGGGGAGGGGTTGACTTAGACAGAGTGGTCAGGGAAGGCCTCTTGGAGGTGGTGGCATCAGAGCCCAGGCTTGAGTGAAAAGGGCCAGCGAGTCATGGGTTTATGGGGGGAAGAGGGCCCTGAGAGCTAGCTGGTGCGGCTGGAGCTGAGGGGTGAGGGGAGGGCAGTGAGTGAGCCAGTGGCCACACGGCCTTCTCTCTCCAGACGCCGCGGAGCTGAGCAGCGGGGAGACTGAGGAGCTGCAGCGGATCAAATGGCACCGGAAGCAGCTTCTGGATGACATCCAGGTGAGTGCACACTCACAACTGTGCACGTGAGTCACACACACATTCACACTGACGCACCCTCAGACCCTGCTGCGTGTGGAGCCCGCCTGCGGCTCTACAGCCTCCTCGCATGGTGGGGTCCACCGGCGCTCGCCCCCGTCCTGAGCCGCAGCTTCATCCCCTCCTAAAACGGGGATCATTAGGTCAACGTCATGCCAATCCGTGCCCAGCACCTGCCAAACACCAGCTTTTCAAATGTTAGCACATCTGGTTCTCAGCCGCCTCTGAGACAGACTCTGGTTCTGTTCCTGGAATATGCTGAGCCCAGGGCTGCCCCGGGGCCTTTGCACTCACCGTCCCCTCTGCCTGGGACTCTCCCAAGCTCTCGTCATGGCTCCTCCTCATAACTTCATTCTCAGCTCATGTGCCGTCTCCTCTTAGCGGCTACAGTTGCTGGGACCTCGCCCCAGCCTAACACATGTCCACCTGTTTCTTAAAGGTTTTACAAGTGTGCAGGGCAGAGTGAAGGTACAGAGGAAGGTGCACCCAGCAGGTATTTTATTGAGCACCTACCATGTGCCAGGCATTTGCTATGTCATCACTGTGATCATTATCTGCACAGTCATTTCATTCCCCATGACCATCACAACCCCAACCCCACTAACTGTGAGCTCTGTGTAAGTGGGCCTGGGACCGTCTTGCCCACCCCTAAATTTGCAACCCAACAGTCAGAGCATAGTAGGTGCTCAATTAATACTTGTGAGTGAGCCCCCACTTTATTTGTGGGGAAGCCACTTGGTGACTCAACCGAGATCACATGGACAGGAGCTGACTGGGCACAGATATGGGCTCCAGGCCCCATGCTGTCCTTGTGTCCCAGAACAAGCCCCTGGGGCCACCCCATCCCACAGCTCTCAGGGAAGGAAGGGGGGGGGCGCTGGGTGCCTTTTAGGGGCTCATGCTGCTGCCCTGCAGGGGAATGCTGGACAAGCTGCCACCTCTCCCTGTCTGCCCAATGGTGGCAGTTGGCTGAGGCAGGGGTTCTCGCTGACACTGTTGCCCCCCCGCCAGGTCAAAACAGAACATGGGGAGGGGGTGCGGGGCGGGGGATCTGGGAAAGCAGAGGCTGAGTCAGACCTTAGGGGACATGTCACCTCGCCTCTCTGCATCTTAATGTCCTCTTCTGCAAGCCCCATGGGGATGGCAAAGCCCCTGAGAAGAGGCCAGAGCTGTCTAGTGCCTGGTGCACCCACAGTACCTGGCACACAGCGGGCACCAAGTCAGGGACAAGTGGCAGAGTAAACAGATGGGGGGGAGCTGGAGAGGATCTGGGCCCTCCCAGGGCTGGAATCGGTGCCTTCTGCCTGGGGACGGGGGCAGTGGGAGCCATGGAAGGAGTTTGAGCAGGGGCAGGGCAGGCACTAGTCTGCTTCAGAAAGATGGCAGCTGGGTGGAGGGGGGCTGGTCGGGTGGGCTTGGCAGGACGGCAGGAGACTCTACAGCTGCAGAGGAGAGAGAGGGGAAAGCTGGGAATAGGGTGGGGACTTGGGGACGACACCCCCAAGTCAGGAGATGGTGGAAGAAAGAATAGAGGGAAGCAGTTTGGTTTGGGACTTTGAGGACAGGAGACCTCCGGGAAGGGGATCTGTCAGGAGAGAGCCATGTGGGGGTCACGCCGGGGTGGGAGTGGGTGGGGGAGAGTTGTGAAACCCCTTCTAGCCCAGCTTCCCTCCCGCTCCTGCCCCTCCCCCACTGACTCTCCCTCCCGCTCCTGCCCCTCCCCCACTGCCACCCACAGAAGTTGAAGGATGAGATCGAAGATGTGTTTGCCCAAATCGACTGCTTCGAGATGTCAGAGGAGAGGTGAGGTGTCGGCCAGGGGGCCCCGGAAGTTGCCATGGTGTCGTCCTAAGGGTGTCACACACCATGAAAGCACAGGGCCATGCCTGGTCTGGGCCCCGGGGAAGTCAGGGAGGGGGCGCTGGAGGAGGAGGCAGGACGGTGAGACAGGAGCACGGCTGGCTGGTCCCTGCTCCCAAGCACCTCCCTCTCTTGAGAGACAGCCCCATCCTCCCATCCTCTCCACCCAAAGTCTCTTCCGACCCACCCTGACCTACCCCTTGACCAATCACCACCCAGGAGCATCCCGGGATGGGAGGGGAGAAGGAAAACTGGCCCCAAGGATGAGGACAGAGAAGGCAAGGCCTCAGGGGGAGGAGCCTGGCCTGTGACAGGACAGGGGTTGGTCCACCCCACTCCACCCTCAGGGTGTCACTCAGCTGCCCCTGCTATGGGAAGGCTCCCCACTGGCTCTGTCACCTGGGGCTGGTCCCCTCCCCTCTCAGGGCCTCAGTTTTCCCACTTGTGAGATGAGAAGGTTGATCCTGACATCATCCCATAGGGCCCCAGTATCCCAGGAAATCCCCACCCTGCCCCGCACCCCTGAGCTCTCTGCCGCCTCCACCTGCACCTGTCTAGCCCCCACACGTGCACACAGACACTCCCATGCATTCCCATCCTGTCTCTAGACTCCCTCCCTGCTCAGGCCCCAATGATAACACAGGACATTTCCAGAGCAACACCTCCCGCTGTTTCCAGCCCTTTAACCTCCCAACAGTGCTGGGAGCAGGGGTGATGCTGCCCCATTTTACAGATGAGGAAACTGAGTTCCAGAGAGATGAGGGGCTCTCCCTGAGTGGCTGGGCCAGCAACAGGTGGGGTTCATTTGCACCAAGAGGCTGGCTCAACCTGCGTTCTCCCCCCAGCCTCCCTGTCATCTTGCCCGCAATC